CTGATTTCCCCTTCAAACTAACAGCTCACGCTTATGCCCCAACTTGCTAGCACTTACTTTAAAACTGCAGTAAATGTGCTACAATTAGGGTGACTTTCAGCCGAGAAACATCGCAGGACTCACACAAAGTAAGTAATGTCAAATACACAGATGAGACTGCCCCAAAGAGTAGCACTTATTGCTGAAATCAGTGCTTCTATTTCAAGTAATGTAATGGTGTTTTATTTGGAAAGTATTGGCTATACCCGAGCATGGTCCACGACGCTGTAGCTTATGTGTGTCAGGATGGCACTGTGCATAGAAAGAACCAACTCCACTGCTTTGTTGCCGAAATACCTGAGCAGGGTCCCTAAGTGAAGCCTATACATTTCTCAAACAAATTGCATGGGAATACGTTCAGACATTGGTCGACGATGAAGCAAGGCTGTTTTATGTAGTTGTGGCCGAGTGGTTAAGGCGATGGACTTGAAATCCATTGGGGTCTCCCTGCGCTGGTTCAAATCCTGCCAACTACGTCTGGTGTTTGGTTTGCCATTCAGGCAGGCCAGTACAGGGAATAGCAATGGTGACAATCTTCTTCAATGAAACTTCATGTGCATTAATTGCTGTTCACAGTTGTTACATACCTGCATGAGAATTTGCCAATGGAATGCTTTTCATTCTGAGTAACCTGAATTTTCATATTTCATATTATTGCTGTTGCTGAAAGATATCAAAGCTTTCAGAAAATCACATTAAAACTGAAATATATGTGATACAATCAAGGTAACACCCAGAGATACATTGCAGCAGTCATAGAAGACAGTTAAGTCAAATACACAGATGAGACCGCCCCAACGGGTAGCACTCATGTATGTATTGTAAATCAAGTTTCTCCTATTTGAAGCAATCGATGTGAATGAACCAGGTGATTCACACGTTGACAGGCAGTTATCACTCTAGATTGAGAGTAGGTACACAGCCAAATGATGCTCTCACTGATGTATTAAAAGGTATTGCTCTAAGAGATTTCAACACATGTTTCACTAAAGATATGTGCAAGAATTTGAATAAATGTGTAAAGAGAAACACTTTAGTTAGAATCTCGACTACAATGAATGTGATTATAGTTTCACACTCCACATTCGTGGTGTCCAAATTCACTGAAAGTTGCCCCAGCTTGTTAGCACTTACTTCAAAACTGCAGTAAATGTGCTACAATTAGTGTGACTTTCAGCAGAGAAACATTGCAGGACTCACACAAAGTAAGTAATGTCAAATACACAGATGAGACTGCCCCAAAGAGTAGCAGTTATTGATGAAATCAGTGCTTCTATTTCAAGTAATCTAATTGTGCTTTATTTGGAAAGTATTGGCTATACCCGAGCATGGTCGACGACGGTCTAAGGCGCTGCGTTCAGGTAGCAGTCTCCCCTGATTGGTCACTAAGACCAATCATAATGTAGTCCCTCTTTGCATGCTAAGATATTTAAATAGATCACCTGAAAGTTCCCTGCATATTGTAGATGCTTACAAACAGTTTGAAGCTTCTTTTTGCCACACTGTGGTTAATAAATGTTCATTGCTGTCAATTCTAGGCTTCAAATGATAGCACAGGCTTGATTTCATGGCACTGTGCGTAGACGGTTGCCAAGGGAACCAACTCCGCTGCTTTGTTGTGGTGTTGCCGAAATACCGGAGCAGGGTCCCTAAGTGAAGCCGATACATTTCTGAAACAAAGTGCATGGAAAGACTTTTATGTAGTTGTGGCCGTGTGGTTAAGGCGATGGACTTAAAATCCATTGGGGTCTCCCCGCGCAGGTTCAAATCCTGCCAACTACGTCTGGAGTTTGGTTTGCCATTCAGGCAGGCCAGTACAGGGAATAGCAATGGTGACAATCTTCCTCAATGAAACTTCATGTGCATTAATTGCTGTTCACAGTTGTTACATACCTGCATGAGAATTGAACAAATGGAATGCTTTTCATTCTGAGTAACCTGAATTTTCATATTTCATATTATTGCTGTTGCTGAAAGGTATCAAAGCTTTCAGAAAATCACATTAAAACTGAAATATATGTGAAACAATTGGGGTAACACCCAGAGATACATTGCAGCAGTCACAGAAGACAGTAAAGTCAAATACACAGAGGAGACCGCCCCAACGAGAAGCACTCATGTATGTATTGTAAATCAAGTTGCTCCTATTTGAAGTAATCGAATTGTGGTTTCTTTTGAAAGTATTGGATGTTGTCCAAACTGTTTAACGTTTAATACATTGTAAACAAATATATGGTATCTTTAGTTGCTTGAATCACCCAAAAATCACCCCAACAAATAGTACTTACCATTCAGGAAGGTCAGAGCCATTGATAGGATATCAACTGTGACAATAAGACAGAGAGGTGGTCTTCTTCTTTGCATCTTCTCCTGCCATGTTTACCACAACAAATATAATCTCTGCATGCCTGCTATCCTAGAAGTTGTCCACTGAGAGTTTACCAGTGACCACCTTTTCATTCTTTTTCATTTGTTGAGGGTCACTAAGACCAATCATAATGTAGTCCCTCTTTGCATGATAAGATATTTAAGTAGATCACCTGAAAGTTCCCTGCATGTTTTAGATGCTTACAAACAGTTTGAAGCTTCTGTTTGCCACACTGTGGTTAGTAACTGTTCATTGCTGCCAATTCTAGGCTTCAAATGATAGCACAGGCTTGATTTCATGGCACTGTGCATAGACGGTTGCCAACGGAACCAACTCCGCTGCTTTGTTGTGGTGTGTGCCGAAATACCCGAGCAGGGTCCCTAAGTGAAGCCTATACATTTCTGAAACAAAGTACATGGAAATACGTTCAGACTTTTTATGTAGTTGTGGCCGAGTGGTTAAGGTGATGGACTTGAAATCCATTGGGGTACAGGGAATAGCAATGGTGACAATCTTCCTCAATGAAACTTCATGTGCATTAATTGCTGTTCACAGTTGTTACATACCTGCATGAGAATTGAACAAATGGAATGCTTTTCATTCTGAGTAACCGGAATTTTCATATTTCATATTATTGCTGTTGCTGAAAGGTATCAAAGCTTTCAGAAAATCACATTAAAACTGAAATATATGTGAAACAATCGGGGTAACACCCAGAGATACATTGCAGCAGTCACAGAAGACAGTAAAGTCAAATACACAGATGAGACTCCCAACGCAGAAGCACTTACGGAATGTAATGCAAATCAAGTTGCTCCTATTTGAAGTAATCGAATTGTGATTTCTTTTGAAAGTATTGGATGTTGTCCAAACTGTTTAACGTTTAATACATTGTAAACAAAAATATAGTATCTTTAGTTGATTGAATCACCCAACATCACCCCAACAAATAGTACTTACCATTCAGGAAGGTCAGAGCCATTGATAGGATATCAACGGTGACAATAAGACAGATAGGTGGTCTACTTCTTTGCATCTTCTCCTGCCATGTTTACCATGACAAATGTAATCAGTGCATGCCTGCTTTCCTAGAAGTTGTCCACTGAGAGTTTACCAGTTGACCACTTTTTCATTCTGAGGGGCCTGAGTCAAGTGATGTTCATTGCAATGCTTGCTGAGTCTGATCGTAAATTGAGATGATTCACAGTCCAACCCACAGAAGCCAATGTGACAATAGAAGTGATGATGGCAGATCACTCCTTGTGAATGAACCAGGTCATTCACACGTTGACAGGCAGTTATCACGCTAGGTTGAGAGTAGGTACACAGCCAAATGATGCTCTCACTGATGTATTAAAAGTATTGCTCTAAGAGATTTCAACACATGTTTCACTAAGCATATGTGCAAGAATTTTAATAGATATTTATAAAGAGAAACACTTTAGTTAGAATCTCAACAACAATGAATGTGATTATAGTTTCACACTCCACATTTGTGGTGTCCAAATTCACTGAAAGTTGCCCGCAGCTTGTTTAGCACTTACTTTAAAACTGCAGTAAATGTGCTACAATTAGGTATCTTTCAGCCGAAAACTCGCAGGGACTCACACAAAGTAAGTAATGTCAAATACACAGCTGAGACTGCCCCAAAGAGTAGCACTTATTGATGAAATCAGTGCTTCTATTTCCTGTAATGTAATGGTGTTTAATTTGGACAGTATTGTCTGTCAAACTACGAATGAGAACTTGCATTAAGCCTGCATTAAAAGTCTTCTTGATTCAAATCCAGACTGTGCACAGCAGATTGGCAGTCCATCAACTTAACCTATTGCTGACATAACTCACACTTATGAAATTACATGCCAGTCTGTGGAGTCTGTGGAGAATAAAGGAGGATGTGATGCACATTGTTTGCCATTGCAATTCTATCTTTTCATGTTTCTCCACCCACACTTGTTCTGTCTCATGGATCTGTCCAGAGCCTGTCACCTGTAGGCCTTGTATGTGTGAGACAGACTGCACCCAAGCCAGAGGTTGTTGTAAAGTGGAGGCAAAACAACCTGTCCGATGAGGGTGGGACTCGAACCCACGCGTGCAGAGCACAATGGATTAGCAGTCCATCACCTTAACCTCTCGGCCACCTCATCCGAAAGCCTTTTCCCAGATCCTCACAAATAAAATTTTTGCCTAGCATGATACACTTTAACAAACATGTGTTGTGAAGGTCAGACTTTGACTGATCCCTGTTCCTCAAATCAGACATGGTACTCACTCACACCTGATTGTTATGCCATAGACTGAAAACACCTGACACTGATTTCCCCTTCAAACTAACAGCTCACGCTTATGCCCCAACTTGCTAGCACTTACTTTAAAACTGCAGTAAATGTGCTACAATTAGGGTGACTTTCAGCCGAGAAACATCGCAGGACTCACACAAAGTAAGTAATGACAAATACACAGATGAGACTGCCCCAAAGAGTAGCACTTATTGATGAAATCAGTGCTTCTATTTCAAGTAATCTAATTGTGCTTTATTTGGAAAGTATTGGCTATACCCGAGCATGGTCCCGACACTGTAGCTTAATTGTGTGTCAGGATGGCCGACGCGTCTAAGACGCGCTAAGTTCCCGTCGCAGTCTCCCCTGGAGGCGTGGGTTCAAATCCCATTTCTGACATTTGGTTCCTTTGCTGCACCTCTGATGAGGGGGTATTGGGCTGTTCCTGAGGGCTTGTTTAAATAAATGCCCCTGCATAGTTTGGAATTTCCTTTGCATAGTTTTTGGGTCTTTTAGTCAGGATGGTCGAGTGGTCTAAGGCGCTGTGTTAAGGTTTCTTCCATCAAAAGCTCATAGAAACTGCACAGGACAGTGGAGCAGTAAGAAGGTGGCTTGGTCTGTGCAATCACAGCTTTCACATTTTTTTCATGTACAGCTTAGGGTTGGGGTTATGAATGACGAAAGGGCTTGAAAAGAGCTTGTTACCACCAGGAGTTGCACTTAAGCCGTGTCTTACGCTCCATTCCTGCTAAGGCTTGTAAAGACAGTCCGATAGAATGGTTAGGCCCGCCGCTCAGCCATTCACACTAAATGTAAGCTAACGACTAAAGTGTATTATCTCTCTTAACATACTAGAAATGTATTTAATGGTAAAAAGGGATATAAGGCTTGAAAAGGCTTGAAAAGACGCTTGGCCAAGGAGTTGCACTTAAGCCTTGTCTTACTCTCCATTCCTGCTAAGGCTTGTAAAGACGCTTGGCACGTGGGAAATGACCAAAACATAAAAAAGCCAAGGAATTGCACTTAAGCCTCGTCTCATGGTTCTTTCGCGTGGTGTGCAAAAGAATAGAGCACCGGTGTTAGCAAACAGACTCCCCCCGGGGAATCGAACCCGGGCGTCTTGGCGTGACAGGCGGAGATACTGTCCACTATACTAACGGAGGAAATCCTACGTAGGCGCTGAAAGACGGTTGTGAGAGCGCCGAATCCTTACCACTAGACAACCAGGGACGAAAACCAAGAAAATGGTGGCCTCTACACTAGCTATGCTGGCCAGTTTCTTCCATCAAAAGCTCATAGAAACTGCACATGAGCATCAGCACAGGACAGTGGAGCAGTAAGAAGGTGGCTTGGTCTGAGGAATCATGTTTTCTTTCACATCATGTACAGCTTAGGGTTGGGGTTAGAAATGGCTTGAAAAGGCTTGAAAAGATGCTTGGCCAAGGGAGTTGCACTTAAGCCCTGTCTTACGCTCCATTCCTGCTAAGGCTTGTAAAAAGGACGGTCCAATAGAATGGTTAGGCCCGCCGCTCAACCATTCACACTAAATGTAAGCTAACGACTAAAGTGTATTATCTCTCTTAACATACTAGAAATGTATTTAATGGTAAAACGGGATATTTCCTGGAATTCCTGACTGCTACCGCTGGTGAGTGGAGTAGCTCCTTTGAGTTAAATGTTTTGTAACTGTGTTTTACGTCAAGTATTAAATGATGTGTATTAACCGTTGCACCCTTGAGCAGTAAGAAGGTGGCTTGGTCTGAGGAATCACGTTTTCTTTCACATCATGTACAGCTTAGGGTTGGGGTTAGAAATGGCTTGAAAATGCTTGAAAAGAGGCGGCAGCGAGGGTTGCACTTAAGCCTTGTCTTACGCTCCATTCCTGGTAAGCCTTGTAAAGACGCTTGGCCAAGGAGTTGCACTTAAGCCGTGTCTACGCGCTCCATTCCTGCTAAGGCTTGTAAAGACAGTCCGATAGAATGGTTAGGCCCGCCGCTTAGCCATTCACACTAAATGTAAGCTAACGACTAAAGTGTATTATCTCTCTTAACATACTAGAAATGTATTTAATGGTAAAAGGGATATTTCCTGGAATTCCTGACTGCAACGCTGGTGAGTGGAGTAGCTCCTTTGAGTTAAATGTTTTGTAACTGTGTTTTACGTCAAGTATTAAATGATGTGTATTAACCGTTGCACCCTTGAGCAGTAAGAAGGTGGCTTGGTCTGAGGAATCCGCTTTTCTTTCACATCATGTACAGCTTAGGGTTGGGGTTAGAAATGGCTTGAAAAGGCTTGAAAAGACGCTTGGCCAAGGAGTTGCACTTAAGCCTTGTCTTACTCTCCATTCCTGCTAAGGCTTGTAAAGACGCTTGGCCAAGGAGTTGCACTTAAGCCTTGTCTTACGCTCCATTCCTGGTAAGGCTTGTAAAGACGCTTGGCACGTGGGAAATGACCAAAACATAAAAAAGCCAAGGAATTGCACTTAAGCCTTGTCTCATGGTTCTTTCGCGTGGTGTGCAAAAGAATAGAGCACCGGTGTTAGCAAACAGACTCCCCATGGGGAATCGAACCCCGGTCTTCCAGCGTGACAGGCGGAGATACTGTCCACTATACTAACGAGGAAATCCTGCTTCCGCGCTGAAAGACGGTTGGCACTTTGGATAGCATCAAACATAAACGATAAAACCATAAATGATCCAAGAAATTGCACTTAAGCCTTGTCCTGTGCCCCATACCCGTGATGGCCAACAGAATATGGCACTGGACTTGAACTGCACTGGGGCTTTACCTGTGCAAGTTGAAGCCTGCTATGAACCTGAGTCTTAATGCAGAGAATCTTTATGAAGATGAGCAACAAAGCACCATGGCATTCATCAAACAAGCTCGTGCCAAACACATCTTCCATCCTGGGAAATTGCATTGACGTAAAGGAAGTCAAACGAATCCTGCTTTGAGACAATGTCCACTGTAAAAAGCGCTACACAAATAAAATTGATTTGAACTGAATCGAATGTGTACATGTAAAGTTGTAAATGGTCTAGTTACTTAATTGAAGTAAATGTATTGAAGAAGGGCAGAAACATGAGAATATAAAGATGCACAAACACGTTTATTGGCTCCAGAAAAAATAGTCTAGTGTTTCCTTAAATCACTTTACCTGACCGGGAATCGAACCCGGGCCGCGGCGGTGAGAGCGCCGAATCCTTACCACTAGACAACCAGGGACGAAAACCAAGAAAATGGTGGCCTCTACACTAGCTATGCTGGCCAGTTTCTTCCATCAAAAGCTCATAGAAACTGCACATGAGCATCAGCACAGGACAGTGGAGCAGTAAGAAGGTGGCTTGGTCTGAGGAATCACATTTTCTTTCACATCATGTACAGCTTAGGGTTGGGGTTAGAAATGGCTTGAAAAGGCTTGAAAAGATGCTTGGCCAAGGAGTTGCACTTAAGCCCTGTCTTACGCTCCATTCCTGCTAAGGCTTGTAAAGACGGTCCAATAGAATGGTTAGGCCCGCTGCTCAACCATTCACACTAAATGTAAGCTAACAACTAAACTGTATTATCTCTCTTAACATACTAGAAATGTATTAAATGGTAAAACAGGATATTTGCTGGAATGACTGACTACTACGCTGGTGTGTGGCGTAGCTCCTTTGAGGTTAAATTAATGTTTTGTAACTGTGTTTTACGTCAAGTATTAAATGATGTGTATTAACCGTTGCACCCTTGAGCAGTAAGAAGGTGGCTTGGTCTGAGGAATCAGGTTTTCTATATCACATACATGTACAGCTTAGGGTTGGGGTTAGAAATGGCTTGAAAAGGCTTGAAAAGACGCGTGCCAAGGAGTTTGGCACTCTTACGCCTTGTCTTACTTCCATGCTTGCTAAAGGCTTGTAAAGACGGTCCAATAGAATGGTTAGGCCCGCTGCTCAACCATTCACACTAAATGTAAGCTAACAACTAAACTGTATTATCTCTCTTAACATACTAGAAATGTATTAAATGGTAAAACAGGATATTTGCTGGAATTACTGACTGCTACCGCTGGTGAGTGGCGTAGCTCCTTTGAGTTAAATGTTTTGTAACTGTGTTTTACGTCAAGTATTAAATGATGTGTATTAACCGTTGCACCCTTGAGCAGTAAGAAGGTGGCTTGGTCTGAGGAATCACGTTTTCTTTCACATCATGTACAGCTTAGGGTTGGGGTTAGAAATGGCTTGAAAAGGCTTGAAAAGACGCTTGGCCAAGGAGTTGCACTTAAGCCCTGTCTTATGCTCCATTCCTGCTAAGGCTTGTAAAGCCGGTCCAATAGAATGGTTAGGCCCGCCGCTTAAGCCTTGTCCTGTGCCCCATACCCGTGATGGCCAACAGAATATGGCACTGGACTTGAACTGCACTGGGGCTTTACCTGTGCAACGTTGAAGCCTGCTATGAACCTGAGTCTTAATGCAGAGAATCTTTATGAAGATGAGCAACAAAGCACCTTGGCATTCATCAAACAAGCTCGTGCCAAACACATCTTCCATCCTGGGAAATTGCATTGACGTAAAGGAAGTCAAACGAATCCTGCTTTGAGACAATGTCCACTGTAAAAGCGCGCTACACAAATAAAATTGATTTGAACTGAATCGAATGTGTACATGTAAAGTTGTAAATGGTCTAGTTACTTAATTGAAGTAAATGTATTGAAGAAGGGCAGAAACATGAGAATATAAAGATGCACAAACACGTTTATTGGCTCCAGAAAAAATAGTCTAGTGTTTCCTTAAATCACTTTGCCGCTTTGCTTGTGAAGAGCAAAATTCGAATAGAAAATCGATCTCGTTTGCTAGCTCACTTATCAAAGATAACTATAAAATACTTTATATTATAAAATACTATTAGTAACCCATAATTAACTAAATGGTCTCGCGCCGCAGTATCTAAGCGACCTTTTGCTTTTCTATGATCCGCCACGCCTACTTAGATCAAAAGATGCAGGCTATTTGTTCGTACCTCGAATAGCGAAGGCTACAACAGGAGGATGAGCTTTCTCTTCTGGAGCCCCACACTTATGGAACAGTCTTCCAATTAGAGTTCGGGACTCAGGCACAGTCTCAGTGTCTAGGCTTTAATCGTATTTGTTTAATCAAGCCTACCCTGACTAGACTTTCTCTTATGCTAAGCACAGTCCTAGTTTTTTTTCTCTCCCTCCCTCCTTCTGTCGAGCCACACCCGATTTTATGGAGATACTAGAGATCCTGATCCCCTCTGCTCTCTGGACCTACCTGATCCATTTTGGATGGCCTACCTCTGGATGGAGCTCTCATCTACTCCAATTCCAGATTGCTGGGACTACAGCTGCTTCTAAGGCCAAAGAGACTCCATATGAATCCCTAATCATCTTTTTCACACTATCTGATGTTACCCAGATGAGGATAGGTTCCCTTCTGATTCTGGTTCCTCTCAAGGTTTGTTCCTCTTAACATCTTAGGGAGTTTTTCCTTGCCACCGTCACCACTTAGTGGCTTGCTCAGTTGAGATAAATTCGCACCATATATATCGATATACCGAATGGTTTTATAGATATACATGGATTGAGCTTCGCTTCACCTCCTATAGCTCAGTTGGTAGAGCGGAGGACTGTAGGTACTTAAACTAGTCATCCTCAGGTCACTGGTTCCAATCCGGCTCGAAGGACGGATTTCTCTGTGTGATATGGTTTCTTTTTAAATGTTAATTTGGCCAGCGGTGGATAAAACACCATTCCCTGACCGGGAATCGAACCCGGGCCGCGGCGGTGAGAGCGCCGAATCCTTACCACTAGACAACCAGGGACGAAAACCAAGAAAATGGTGGCCTCTACACTAGCTATGCTGGCCAGTTTCTTCCATCAAAAGCTCATAGAAACTGCACATGAGCATCAGCACAGGACAGTGGAGCAGTAAGAAGGTGGCTTGGTCTGAGGAATCACGTTTTCTTTCACATCATGTACAGCTTAGGGTTGGGGTTAGAAATGGCTTGAAAAGGCTTGAAAAGATGCTTGGCCAAGGAGTTGCACTTAAGCCCTGTCTTACGCTCCATTCCTGCTAAGGCTTGTAAAGACGGTCCAATAGAATGGTTAGGCCCGCTGCTCAACCATTCACACTAAATGTAAGCTAACAACTAAACTGTATTATCTC